ACAAAACAGAATGGTGTCAGGAACACAATATGCAGAGTAAATACTACTGTGAATGGTAAAATATTGTTTTTGTTATTTATGTTGTTTTTTTGCCTACCCAGAGATACACATCATAATAAATGTAGTGGACTCAGTAAGAAATTTTAAAATACAGCAAAGGACTATTTTTGGAAGATCAAATGAGGAGACTGAGGACAAATCTCCATGGACCCATACCTTTCTCTAACAACATCTGAAAGTTTGAAAATTCAGATGGTGGGAGTTACTTCTGGCCAACGAGTAGCAAAATGGGAATATGAAGGGGAAAAATTATATGATGACAGTACATGCTTTATTATAATAGTCAACACTGGAGTTCAGGCTGAGAGGAGCAAATGAAGCATAACAGAAAGCAGGGATGATAAAAGCAGGCATCATAAAAAAATTATGATTAAATCCAGTCTTCTTCTCACTACTGCAAAACTTTTCATTACCTGGCCCCTACTTGCATTTCCAATTTTATCTCATTGCTATTACAGCTCTTGCTCAATTCCAGACCCTTGAGTCTTGTCAGAGCTTCTCAAATTTGCCAAGTTCTTAGGCTCTTTTCTTGAATTTGTCTATCTGGCTGGATCTCACAATTCAGATCTCAGGACACATTTCTTGACTACCCTTATTTAAAGTAGCTCTGAAACCACCATCATACTATGACAATGTTCTATTTATTTTGTCCATACCCTTTAAATGACTTATAATTACTTATGCAACTGTTTTATATTTGTTTTTCCTCTGTATTGGTTTTCTCTCCTGGTAGAATGAAAGCTTCATGAGAATAGAGATGGTGTTGTAGACCCAACTTCAGTAACAGTGGCAAGCACATTGTAGGTCCTCAATAAATACTTTTAAGTGAGTAAATGTATAACAAAGGGATAGGAAAATATAATAAGGATGAAGGGAAATTCATTGTAACTAAGGGTAAGGGAAGGTAGGAAACACAACCAGAAAGTGGAAAGCTACCTAGTATAGAATTATTCATGAAGTTCTTCATCCTGTAGCACTGTTAAGTAATGTCTAAATCTAAGATCCAGCTACTAAATGGGTGAATTGTGGAGTATGGAAATGGAAATTTTTGACATCAAAAGTTAGAAGAATCCTAACTTTTATTAGGACACAATAATATATAAAAATGATAGCAGAGATTAAAAGAGTGCTGAGATGACTGAACAATATGGACAAGCTTAGATTTAATGGCATATTAATTCACTCTGTCTAATTGCTGCTCACCTACTCAAGTAAATCAGTATTTATTCTAGATGTTGAGGAAACAGATGAGGATTTCATTTATTTTATTATCTAGATACCATCTACAGCAAAACATGTTTGTAAAACATTATTATGGACCAATAATTTTATTTCATTTGTCATCACTGCTGTCATCATTATTTTCTTTCTTTTCTTCATCACCATCACCCTCACTATCTTTAGGAGAGGCGTTTGTGCCAAGCACTCACAAATCTGCTGACTGTTGAGTAAAACACAGTTTTATGTCTACATTGTCTTTTTTTTTTTTACCCTCTATCCTCCTTTTTTATCTTCCTTATCCCTGATACAGTGAGATTTTACCCATTTTCAGCTGGAGGGTATTGAAGTAATGGTCCATAGACATAATGAAACAGTGAAAGCTTGGCTGAAGTTAACATTAAAAAAAAGAATATCACATACGTTTTCACTGGCCATATGTTTTTTTTTCTTTTTCTTTTTGTGAAACCACTGATCAACATGAGTGAGAAAACAAATTTAAGTGGCAAGGTATAAACATCTGAAGACTGGGCAAAATGATGCCTTAATATGACAAATGGTATTGCTTGCTTTTATTATTGTACAGAAATGTCTTCCCTTCAGACACAAATAGAGATACAAATAGCATAGGCAATAGAAAAATATCACACATGCTTCAGAGGTTTTTGTTTATGCCCTGGTCGTCCCTTGATAGTTAAAAAAAAGTCCTTATTCAAACCAGACTTCATTATAAAGAAAAATGCTCTTGATTTAGAGTTTTTGCTGTAGCACCTGTTACATTCTTCCCCTCTGTCCAATGAGAAAACTCTAATTCACCTACAAGAAAAATTTTTATAAAGAAATAGGGAAAACAAAGACAGAAACTAATTTGATTTCTGAAAAAAAATAGATAATGCACCTGTCAACTTGTATTTATTCCAGTGGCCTTCAGTGACATTTTCTAGTGACAGCAGCGAAGATTCCAAAATTGCTTCCATAGGCCCCACACAGAGATAGGTAACAGGGGACATTATTAACTTCAACACAGAGCAATTTATTGAAACCCAACACTCCATTATTAAAATATTGGAATTTTTTCCCTCTCTATCCCTCTCATCACTCTAAATGAATCCACGTTCCCTTTTCTTTATCTCTTTCCCTATCCCCCAAAAAAGCCATCTGCTATTTCCTTTATGAAAAAAATAAAACCTACAATTAGTGTCTTGTTCATCTTTTATTTCTCAAAAAAAGAGAACTATTATGCAAATACTCTGCAATTTGGTTTCAAATACTCTTTGTAGTGTGATGAGCAATTTTCCTTAATACAACCCCAGCTTTTTTGCCAGGACTTACTAATAGATTTTGTTAAAAGAGAACTTTCATGTGACTTTTTTACACTCTTCTGATGTAAACTTTTTGCATGCATATTTAGAATGAAATTATCATTACTCCTTGAGTTGTAATAGAAAAAAAAAACATTGTTTATATATTTCATCTGAAAAAGAAGCCTAAAATAACCTAAAAATCATTCTTTTACCTTAAATTTCATCATTTTCTTCCTCAAGAAATGGTCTGTACCAAATAATAGTCTCAGTAAATCTGATAAATATGTTTTCTTTGGCTTTTTCTGAAAGCAAATGGTAAGTGATGGCAGTTTTCCTGTTAGTGCAAATTTGTTGTTTGATTTTAGTTGATCCTCAGGAACTAAAGTATAATTTGACCCAGTTCTTCAGGTACATCTGATGTCAGGTGTTTAGAGCTGTTTTCTTGTTAACACAATAAGCATCTACAGTATGAGGTGCTGATGGAACTGAATCAGAAATCCTGATTCTTAACCCTGATCCTGCCGGTTTTCATATGACCTGGGGCAGTAAGCTCACCACGTTGGTTTTCTCCTTTTACAGCTGAGAATCACTGCCTCCTTTGACTGCTTCTAGGCTTATAAGGAGGATCAAACCACCGTTGCAAGTTACTCCTTTTGCAGTGGATTTCAGATACGTTTCTTGGCAGTGTTCCAGAGGTCCTCAACTTTCCTATTCCTTATAGTAGCTTTACCTGGGGAGCTTGCTACAAATACAGCTTTGTGATCAATTTCTAGACCAGATTATCTAGGAGTGGGGCCAGGATAACTACTTGTAATGACACACCTCATGCTCATGAAAGACTGAGAGCCACTAGAAGAGAAATAGAGAAAATGCAGTCAATATAAAGCTAATGTAATTAGATAATATCTAATTTTGTGTTTGATTAAATTTATTTAATTTGATTACATGTTTTCCTTATTTGTTGGTTTATATGTGTATTTCTATATGTGTGCATATCAGAATTCAGTGAAGGAATCCTGTGGTTACTTTCAATATTAATGTTAATAATTAATTAATGAATAACAATACTGGATTAAATAACAGGTAATATTACTTGCTAACATTCCTATCTGTGTTCTCCTTATAACCACATTGATTTACTTTATTTCAAATGTTTACTAAAATATGCAGCAAGTACAACCAAAATGTTTCTACTTTTTGGACCCAGATGAGGCCATACTAATGACTCAAATTTCTGGCCTTGCTCGTGGTGCAGAAACTCCAGTCCATAAAGAAATTTCCCCAAATAGTTTGGGCAGTTGCTGAGTGTCTCATAGTACCTATAAACTACTCAGTGCTCTTTGGGCTGCTAGTCCTCAAGGTGTTGCTATGGTGGTGGGCTCATCAAAGAAGCATTAAAACTGGTATCCTCCCCGTTCTTTGCCTCTGGTTGCCTAGGGCTATTGGGGAGGAAGAATGGCAGCATCTTCTTGGAAGCTATCTGGAAAACAATAATTTCAGCTGCTTACAGAGACTCAGAATAGTCTTTTGAGTAGGGCTGATAGCATTTTATCAGCTTATTTTTTCTGTTTGGCATGTAAGGTCCTATTTGTTTTAAATTGTAGTAAATATACTTAAAATAACTTTATTGGAGTCTAAGATGCACTAAATAACTATCATATGTCCAATTTTATCTTCATTAAACAAAAATAACATGATTATGATAAGAAATTAGAGCTGTTTTCTCATTTCATGAAATGATAAAGTTGAAGTAGACAATTTTTCATGGTCTCACTCAGCTATCATATTTTATGATTCTGTGACTAATACATAACTTGAAATTTTGGAAATGAAATAAAATTGAGTAAAGGCAAATTTATGGAGTAAATTCTAAGGTTTGTTTTTCTACATAAATCCACAATGGGCATATTGCTTATCATTGTTTTAAGTTTTGATATTTATAATTTATAAATTACACATGTGTATTCTATCTGACTCCAGACTAATAATGGATGACTTACCTTTGGTTCACCTTATACTTTGTACAAATAATTACATTTGTATGGATTATTGTACTCCAGAACCAAAAATCAAAAGTTAAAAATCTGCAGTGTAAGTCAAGATTCAATATAAACTTACTTAGCAGTGGGTAAAATCAAATATTATCCATATTACAAAAGACAAAATACTAATATTAATTTTATATGCATTTATTTCTATAACATTGTCCATCTTAATAAGTGTATAGTCTTTGTTTTTCACTTAATTTTACTTGAATTAAATCACTTTAAGAATATAATAGCTGTAGTAGTGTCTTTTCATTTTTAATGGTTTCCATTGAATGAGAATACATTTCCAAAATTATTATTGGCACCATTAATATAGTGAGTACTATAAAGGAATTTGATTTGAAATTAGTTTTTGTTTTTGTTTTAATAGGAAGCTTTGATAATGGCAAGTATGGACCATCCGCACTTAGTCCGGTTATTGGGTGTGTGTCTGAGCCCAACCATTCAGCTGGTTACACAGCTTATGCCCCATGGCTGCCTGTTGGATTATGTCCATGAACACAAGGATAACATTGGATCCCAGCTGCTGCTTAACTGGTGTGTCCAGATAGCTAAGGTAAGTGCCCATCACTTCCCATGGAAATGCCTCTCCTCTCTTATCTCCTAATCTAGAATAGTAGATACTGAAAATACGTCAAGTCTGTCAGTATATTTAAGTAAAATAAATTACTTTTGCTATATTGAAAGATATAAGGAAGTATTTGCTTCAAATCACAAATCAAACACATTATATAGTTATATATTTTGGGAATTTTTACTGCTGTTTGTGTTATATTGACCAGATGCAAAACTGATCAGAAGGAAAAAAAAATGTTCTACCAAATTTTTTGGCTTTTTGTTTGTTTTAATATAGTTGAATTAAGAAACAAAATCCAAGAAAGAAAAGACAATGTAAGAATTATCCCATTTTAGATGATTTTATTTAGATAGTATGTACATTTAATCTCAGTATTACAAATTACCAAATTCTAAATATTCTCCTAGACATTTTGATAATTCTGAATTAGTCTTTAACGGTTGGGGTTTCTCAGTCTAGCACAAGGTCTCAGGCATGTAACATGCATTAAGAAGAGGCACGGATCTCAGACCTGAGGTGATGGGGAAGTGGCACTGTGGTGACCTAGAGAACACCACTGCCCTCTAACAGGACTGTGGTTTTTCCCACAAGTGTTGTGGTCTTCCAAGTTGTCTGAGGGGTCAAAATTCTGGATTTTTTAAATGTGACTTATCCAAATTTAAATCTTGGCTCAAACTGCTGAAGTGTTCTGGAAGCCAAATGAAGCATTTATGCCTTGCAATCCACCATTGTGAAATTTCTGGTGTCCGTGTCCATGTTTTACATTCAAATATGTCTTGAAAATTCTCTCCTGGATAAATAGATGTGAAATGGGTTTTAATTCTCTATTTGAACCTTTGTTTACATCACAAATTGACCTAATGTTCAGTTAAATCTATAGATATGTTCATCTTTGCATTTGTATTATGTAAATGCCACAATGTTAATTTAGTAATTCTAGTGTATTTCTTTTTACAGCCTATGAATGAATAAAAATTTATTTCCCAGAATAGAAATTTGAGGTAATTCTTAAAATGTAAACCCAAAAATTATCTAAGGGAAAAGCCCAGTTTGTTTTCTATACCATAAATTCCATTATAGTTTCACAATGGATCATGTATTATATTTTTGTTACTATTAACTATCAAACTCACAACTTAAATAATTTTTTATAATAATGAAGTTTGAAACACAACTCTTCAAAAATTGATTTACTTACCTAAGAACTTCAGTAAATTATGAGGTGAGCTAAGCATGCTATAGAAATTCTCAAATCATTCTAGCACTATAAATGAAAACAAAACTAAATTTCAAATTTCTTTGCTGTTCTCTATGTTTTCTGCAGTGTTCTTCATAATTTAGGTTTTGTCCTTAGGGATTCATGACATTAATATATCATTTATGCAAGGCTGTACACTCTAATAATAGTAGCTACTTTGAGTTCCCTGAATAATTGCACTGTTTAAAGCCATTTTACCTGTGTAAATGCCATCCTTTCTGCTTAGAAATCTTTCCTCATAGCTTCTTGATCACATACCATGATCCTTTTCATCCATCGTTGCTGATTGGGTTCCTCCCCTTATGGAACCTTCCCTACTCAACCTTTTTCTCCAAACAGAAGCAAATTCTTTTGTGTCTCCATTGGTTTCGGTCATTGGTATCTTGAACACATTTTTATTATTTAAGTGGTATACTATGTAGTTTACATAATTGTCTAACTGTATGACAAGTTTATTTAGTCATTAACATTTTAATAAACATTTGTAGACACCTTCCATGTACTGGATGCTATGCTGCCTGAATTGTCTAGGTACAAAAAACATGGACATGGGTTGGTTGTCTTTGTATACCCTAATGACCAGAATAGTTAACAGATAAAACAATTAATAAAGGGATTATACTCAATATTTTGGTTCACATTTTAAAGAAAAATAATTACAGGGGACACTTAAGGAAGGCACCCTTGATTCCTGAGGGAGGAGAAGATTTGGCTATTGGATTAAAATTTAGGCAGAAGAAAGATTCTACAAGAACCATATAGATATGATGACCTTGTAACTTATCATCCAACTGGAACATTTTTGGGAGTGAAAGAAGGCTCTATCACTAGTTACACAAAGACAACAGGGACACAAATTCCTTAATCAGAACAAGGTATGTGGCAACCTTGTGTAGCATGAACAGTTTGGATTTAATTATAAATACAGTAGATATTGAAGTATTTTACATTCTAACGGGACATTGCCAGTTTATGTATGGAGCTGAGATCAAGGCAATCCAAGAATTAAAATGAGGATACCAGTCAGAAGTCTGGGGTTAATGAAAATAAGGAGAAGTAAATAGGATTAAGATATATTTTTGAGGGGCACCTGGGTGGCTCAGTTGGTTTAGTGTCCGACTTAGGCTCAGTTCATGATCTCGCGGTTCGTGGGTTTGAGCACCGCATCGTGTTCTCTGCTGACAGCTCAGAACCTGGAGCCTGTTTTGGATTCTGTGTCTCCCTTTCTCTCTGCCCCTCTGCTGCTCATGCTTTGTCTCTCTCTGTCTCAAAAATAAATAAACTATAAAAAAGATATATTTTTGAAATAAATTTAGGCATCTGAATGCTGATAAGTTGTGGGAAATATGGTGGTGCTATTTCCTGAGCTGGTGAAGTCTGAGGAATTGAACACAGTTGTAGAAAAAAATTCAAGAGTTCAGTTCCAGACATGGCAAATTGCAAAGGTTTATAGAACATGAAAGTGGAGCTTTAGATTAGGTTGTTGAATTTGGTTGAAACTCTCAATATAGACTGAAGAGTTATAGGTATTTAAATATATAGGAAAATTTGCAGTTACCTAGCTACTCAGTCTGATTCATATTTCTTCCCAGCACCAAAAATTGGTATAGTAGCCATTCAATAAACATTAATAAATATTTTTAATGCATGAAGAACATGAAAAAGTCTACCCATAAGGAGGGAACCCTTCCTTCATCTTTTTTTTTTTCTATTTTGGGGCAGACTTGTGTAGTGGAAATAGGTTTAGGATCAGAAGGAGCTACATTAGTATGTTGGTCCCCACTTTTTGGTTTTGTGAGTTTGAGTGAATTATTCAACCTTTTCGAATTTTTGTCTTAATGTATGAACAGAGTTCATAATCACTACCTTCTTATTTCCAAAATGAGTATAATGGTATCTACTTCTGGTAGGCCAAAACTCCCTACCCTGAAATATGTTATATCCCGTCCACAGCACCTATGAATATGTTACTTTGCATGTTAAAAGGGAATTGTGAATGTTATTAAATTAAGGAATTTGAGATGAAGAGATTACCCTGGATCATCCAAGTGGGCCTAATGTACTCTAAGAATTCTTGTAAGTAGGAGGCAGAAGGATCAGAGTAAGTGAAGATATAAAAATGGGAGCAAAGCTAGAGTGATGTGCATTGAAGATACAGAAGGACCACAGGCTGGAAAATAGAATCTACCTCTAGAAAGGAAGTAGATTCTCCTTACAATACTCAGGACTGCCGCACCTTGATTTTATTCCAGTTTACAAGCCAATTCGGGACTTCTGACGTCCACAACTGTAAGAAAATAAATCTGTAATGTTTTAAGCCATTAAATCTATGGTAATTAGATACAGCAATAAAAAAACTAATATACTTCCTCATAGTGGTTTGCAAATATTAAATAAAACAGTCCAATGTAGCTTCCTTGGCTCAGCTCCTGGAACATGGAGCTGTTTAAAAACAGTCTCTTTTTTATTAAGTATAAGATGAAAGCCTCAACACAGAGAATTGTTTTAAAAATGTCTATAAAATGTAAGTAATATGGTCTGAGTAAACACAAGTATTTTTAAAATAGTTATTCCAGTAACTTAGAGGCTTTGTCTTCTTTGCTTTCAATTCTTACCAAGAAAGGCTCATGAAGGTATGATAGCATCATAATTGCTTCAATACTCATTTTGTTTGGCTGCATCCTTTTTTTTTTTCAATGATAAACTTGGGGATACTGTAAAATAACTGATGTATATTAGTGTTATAACATACCTGTGGGAAATACAACAATATGTAGGAAAATAATAATTATAGCTACCATCAACCAGCTCTTACTCTGTGCAAACCACTACTCTGTATATTTTTTTCATTAATTAGTCTCATCACAGACCTATGCAGTAAGTACCATTATGATTTTCATTTCACAGATAAAATCACAGAGACTGTAAGTTACTTGATTAAATTCGTATGGCTAATACATAAATAGTGGAACCACTAATCTGTGTTTTTATATATAAGGTAGACAGTATTTTTAACAAGTTTTACCCATATTGCCAGTTTCCTTTCCATATTTCCTTCAGTACATCATTCTACAAAACTCTATGTCATAGAAAATACAAATTTAAACACCAAAATTGTTTGGCAGCCATATTAACTCTGTAAATGCTGTATTTGGAACTTGGTTTAATTTGATAAGCAGAGCAGGATATATTACTATTTAATGTTCATATAATACTATATGCCTTCCTGGTACTTTATGAATCCAGGATAGAAATAATGATGAGAATTCCTTCCTTCACACTTGTTGCTAACAAGTTGGGCAAGCCCTTTTTAAGACAACTTAGCAGATTCTAAAAAGTGTATGTGAATTCAGAGTAACAGAACTTCATGGTGAGTAACACCAATGATGACTGAGTCTATGTGGATAAAGCATGTCTTATACACTTGGCATCTGGTTGGTGATTTAGGTGCATTGTGTTATTTAATCTTTACTGAAACTCTAGCAGGCACGGCTTATTATTCTTCTAATTTATAGACCAGAAAAATAGGGGAATTAAGTCCTAATGGAGAAAACAATAGATTGAAATACCTGTGTTCTAAGCAGGGAACTCTGCTACCTGATCAAGATCTTTAAGCCATTTAGCACCCTCCTCTCCAAAAACATACACATCACTGCAGATTAAAGTCCCTTGCTGTCCTCAACAGCACTTCTGAATATGGAGCATGACATCTGTAGTGGTG